AGGGTGGGCGAAGTCGAAGAGGGCTCAAAACCGGGTTGGGATGTGGTTGCTCTCAAAAAGACGAGGGCGTGGCCCATGTTTTCTTTGTTCCAATACCCCGACCGGTCTGTGCATTAATCTGGGTTTTGGGGGGCTATGTTGACAAGGTGTATGTTTTCGGTGCATGTGGTTGGCTTCCCCCGGCCACTGTCGATAGCATTGTCATTGCTTTCTGCTTTCGTTTTTTTTTCTTTTTTCCTTATTTCTTTGTGTAACTGTAACTGTACTGCATGGGCCTGTTTGCACGATTCTTGCACGATTCTGCACAGATTCTGTAGAATCGTCGGGTAGAAGAAGTGTTGTGGTGTATATAGACGTCATAGAAGTTCCGAGACATTCTGAATATGGTGTGTTTTGTCCTGAGAGTGTTTTTTTTTTCTCCTCCGTTTTTTCCCCCCCTCTTGCAGCGTTTGAGTTACCTCAACGCCTGAATGTGGATGAGTTTGTGGAGACATGCAGAAATGGTGTTGAGTTTCCTCAACTGCACATCTCCACAAACACGTCTATATTTAGGCATTGAGGACACTCAACGCTGCTAGTGGGTGGGACTTGGCCCCTGGTCTTTGGGCAGGTGGGTCTGGTGGGTCCGTTTTTTAAAGTGTTTTATTTGTTCTTTTTTTTTCCCCCCTCTCTATTTCACCTCACACTACCTACCTACCACTACAGCATCAGGGACCACGCCAACAGGACCAATCCCTGTGCCTCCCCTCAGGTGGGGGTCCCCGCCCCCAGGAACAGACTCTGCTCAATGCCGATCGGGGGATCAGCGGTCTATATCTTTAGGACGGCTGGAGCCAAGCATGCCCAGGAAGGTACATGAGGCCTCCTGAATGCCAGTTGCGTGCCTTACCCACCGAGTTAGGCCACTGGATAGTGGTTGGTCGCAAGGCATGCACTCCCCTCCTACCGGGTGGGCGACTTTGCCAAATGCCCAGGGCTATTGGCGCCGTAAAGGTGGCCGAATCGGACACCAATGTCAAAACTACACACTACCTACCTACCACTACTCCTAACTGTAGGCATACGGGGAACCATGTAGCAGCCAGAACCTTCTTCTCTCAATTTCACGTTTCCAAAAAATAAAATAAAAAAAAATTGTTGTTTTTTTTTGTTCTTTTTTATGTCTGGCCGTTACCTAGCCCACGTGACGGAACGCGAGCAACGTCCCTGCTCATAGCAGATGCAACAGACGAAAAATATGGTGGTGTATCTTCCCTGGTTCTAACGAAAGATTCGTTCTCATTTTGCACATTTGCTTAGTAGTGGAGGGAGGCCCAGACTGCATGCATTTGGATGCTATTTAGACCTCATACATTCATAATGTTGGACTCGTTTGCACCTGGGTCAGAAAGATAACAAATGCATGTGGTTTTGTGCAGCGGAGTGAGGCCTACCTACCACCAT